GAATAGGCGGGGATTGGCGGGGGCGGGGCCCGCCGGGGTCAGGTGACTGCGCCGCGGGCGGCTGAGGTCCAGGGGTGTCAGAGTGCCGAGAGGGCTGCAGGGCAGGCGGGGCAGTCGCGGTAACACGGCCGCGGCCATGGGGGGCTTGAAAGACGAGCTGCTCAAGGCCATCTGGCACGCCTTCACTGCACTGGACCTGGATCACAGCGGCAAGGTTTCCAAGTCCCAGCTCAAGGTGGGCGCCCCCGCCCGGGTCTCCTCTCCCGGGTCTCCTCCCCCGGGTCTCCTCTCCCGGGCCTCCGCGGCGTGCGCTCCACTACTCAGGGTGGAAGCGGGACGCGGCGGGCGGTGACCACAGGGAGGAGCGGGCCGGAATGCAGACTGGCGGCTTGCTTGGGGCGGAGTGGGTAGAGACCGGGATTTGGCATTCGTTTGCTTTCTTCTTGCCTTGGGATAGTGTTAGTTCCCTAAGGGCTCGCAATGAGCTGGGGTGAGAGGCGGGGCAGGGTCTTCGAACGGCCAGTCGGGGTCCCTGTTTGCGCCGGGGTGCTCCAGAAAGTTTCAGACTCAGGGCGGTGAGAAGCCCCCTTAGACAACTTACCCAGAGTTTACCCTTAACTCTGGGAGAGAAGGGACTTGCCCAACGTCACTGGTCGGAGAGCCTTTTACAGCGCACGCTTTACCCTGGGACAGTCCTCAACTCCTCACCTCCCTCCTTCCTCCCCCAGCTGCACCCGAGGCAAACGGGCGGTTCAGAGAAGGGAGAAGTGCCCCAGAGCTCGTCCTCCATCAGCCTCCTCCTTTGGGGGGCTTTTGGCGGTAGGAGACGCTTTGTGAGGAAGACCTCCCCCGCACCTAGCGTGCTCAGGTCTGGAACTGCTTGAGGGTGTGTTGAATCCCTTAGGGACCCTATCCTTGGAGGATACAAGAAAGACCCTGATCTTTCTTGTATCCTCCAAAAGCAACCGCTTTTGCAGAGTCTTTACTATGACTGCCAAAGACCCCATCAGTAAGTGAGAGTATAAGGTATAAATAAAGGAATGCTTGTAAATGGAGTAACTCCCAAATAGGGGAAGTGGCGCTTAGCCAGGAGAAATTGGCAGCTTCTTGAAAGTATAAAATATGAAACAGACAAGAAAAGCCATTCACAGGCATTTTTAGATTTTCAAATTTTGGATCTGAATGGTTTTGTTAGCCTCTTCTGGGAACTTATTTCTGAAGTTTGGATTTGCTTTGTATATTTTGTACAGTAATCAGGAGGTTCTTATGAGTAGTGGCTTTTATGCCCGTAGG